TATTCCCAGGCCCTGGGGCCTCCTCTCTCTTTGCCCTCTCCCTGACAGCATCTGACATTCGCCTGACTCCTGGTTGAGCTAAACCTGCAGAAATCTACCCAGTTTTGGTACTTTCATACATCTGCCCATGGGCAGATGACTTTCTTGGGTGCTGGTGGCAAAGGAGTCATGGCAAAATGAAGCTGGAGATGGAGAGAAGGGTGGACCATCCCCTTCGGTGACAGCGCACCCACCTGAATTTCTATATCCACAACGTGTGTGTCTATGTGTAAGGCAGGTGCTTAATATGCTGTGATATACAATGGTGAGGTAGTCAACGCAGTTATGAGAGACTAGGGAGTGATTTTGCCAAGCGAATGCAGGTGTCTACTGTGAGATGAGCCAGACAGCCCTCTGGACCCCCCTGACCAGCCCTTGTTGTCTGCCACAGGAGTGTAGATGCCTACCATTCATGTAGACCTCTACGCATTGGCCGCAGAAGGCACATCTGTCTGAATCTTTAGATAAATCCCACCCTGGTGTCTCTCTGCCTTCAGAGCCTGGTCCAGACAGCATTTTCTGAGCATCTCTCACTCGTGTTGAGGTCACAGGATTAAGCCCCCATCCCAGAGCTCACAACCATATCCACTTAACAAGTATGAGTGCTACCACCCCATTTTCCTAGGAGTCCTGCATCTAGAGCATGCACTGCAGAAACCAGAATTAGGCACCTCACAGTGGTGTTTGACTCCATCACACATCATTAAACATAAAACATCCTTGAAAGCATTCAAGAGGCACAGGAGAGAAGAGCAGGTCAGTGGGAATTTGGCTTTAGTTTTTTTGGCTAAAGCGCCACAGAAGGCATCTCTGGGATCTTGTTTCCTTGGTGTGTGGTGGGTTGACCTTGGTCAGCAGCCAGACCCTCACCCAGCTGCTCACTCACTGCAGCTCCTCAACAGGACAAGGGGACAAAATCAGATGAAAAAGCTCATGGGTAGAGACAGATACAGAGAGATCACTTACCAATTACTGTCACAGGCAAAACAGACTCAACTTTGGGAAAATTAATTTAATTTATTGACAGTTAAAACAGATTTGGATGTCTGCCCAAGGTCTCCAGGGTGGCAGTTGCAAGCCCACGGTCCCAGAACATTTCTGGGGCAACTCAGGAGACAAGGCATTTTGTGACTGTGCCGCTGTAGCATCACTCCTGTGTGTCCTGGGTATGGCAGATACATCTTCACGGCTGTGGAGGTACACCTGGAAAAGAGGCTGTGGGAATTACCCACTACTGTGTTTTAGTCCTCTCCCTTGATGCCAAAGAAATTGGACGCTGGCACCTGGTTGTGAGTCTGCTGGCCTTCAATGGCCTGGCTTGATGCTACTAGGTATCTTCACCTTCATTTAATCAATTTTGGTTACAGCTCCCTCATTTTGCCACACTGTCAGTATGCTCGGATTAGATGGTCTCATGGCAACTGCGAACAGGAAACTACCTGGCAGTGTTTGAAAGCACGTGGGGTGAGATTTGTTTCACTAGATGTTGGATGTCCACAGTGCAAACACCTACAACCATTACAGGCTGCAGGTAGGGAGGGATGGGGAACTTCTGAGTGCAATACACCAGACCTATTTTACCTGGCTGGTTCAGGAGGAGATGATTCATGCCCTAAAAGTGCCTATTTCTCTCCACTGACTGTGAAGGGAGCCAAGGGTGCTTTGCTCTGTTGCAGGTGACTACCAGAGACTTCTGCAGGAGTAGGCTCAAGCTCGGTGTTACGGCTTTTATGATTTCCAGCTGCTGTAGCCACTTTGGGCCGTGGAATTAATGCTGGCTCAGTGAAATAGCGCTGCCTCCAGTCCCGTGTCCCTGCTCCCCCTCCTCACCTCTGCACCCTGAGCCAGAGAAAGGCAGGCAGGAGAGGGCAGCTTTCTGTGATGGAGAGGTTGTGTGGTCGCACAGTCTCGTCCGCTGCACATGACTCAGGGCTGATGTCACACCACGCTCGGCAAATAAATGGAATTTAATCGACAGGTCTGCATTAATTTCTGAAGTAAGTTAGCAAAAATGTCAGTTATGTTAATCAAAAAATAAAAGAAAACAACTAGGACACACACAGAGAAATAGCATCCACGGAGCAACCATTTGATTCAAGGGGCCCTGCCCAGGAGCTAAGCCTCGGGCTCCCTTCTCCACTCACCTGCACTTTGGATGATGTGTGCTCTTATCTGATGGAGCTTGGGGATTTCCCTCATCTAATTTTAGGCATCTAAAAGTTAAAAGAGTCTGGGCTGCTGCCCTTTGCTCTTACAAGCAAAGGGGAGATTGGGAGCTTCAGTGATTCACCTGAGCTGTACCCATTGCCTGTCTCCAAGCCAAGATGAGAAGCTCTCAGAAGAGGTCCATATCTTTCCACGAACCAGAGAGTCCCTGCAAAGCAACTGGCCCAGACTTAAATGCTGAATGGATGAATCCCACATTTTACCAGCAGCACGCAGGACCCCAGACTGGACAGATCCCAACCCCAGCGAGACTGTAGCTGCTTGCTGCTGAAAGCTGCTCTGAAAATGGGCACAGTTGACTTTTTCCCCCCGCCCCATTTCAAGACTGCCTCACATTGGGGTGGCCTGAACTCCTGGTTAGGAGGCGAAGAGCATTGACCCACCCGTAGAAGTGCACAGGCTGGATTGCAGGCAACAGCATGATTTCGGCACCTCAACCAAACACGATGAAGTGCCCTTCGGCTGACCTCCTGCCAGCTTCCCCCAGGAGAGCCCAGGGACCCGCCGTGGAGGTCTTGCAGTACATATCCCAGGCTTTCAAACTAGATGACAAAGCAGCAGCTTGTGAGACTGCCCTGCTTTTTTGCTGGAGAGCCTTTCCCTCCCCGTGTTCCGAGATATGACTAATTACTTCACATGCAGGCTTGCTGCTCTGCATCATGGATGATTAGCCGGCAGGGAGGCTCCCAGCCTTCCTTCTCAGCACCCACCCTTCAGCCCCAACTTCAGCCCTAAATTTAACCAAAGTAACCCTCTCAGTTCATTAGATGCATCATGATTTTTATTACCAGGTTTAGATGAATCGCCGGAGACGCTCACCTATTTTCCTGACCATAAAAGCTGTATCACAGACATTGCTTCCCAGTTGAGTCTTGTACCAGCCTTATTTCAATTCCCTTCAAGTACAGTCTCTGAAGCTCTCTGCCCACCACAAATCTTCATGCAGTGACTTTTATGAAGCCCCTGTTAAAACTCAGACGGTGTGTGCATGAAAACTTGGTTGGGCTCTGCCACTCTTGCTATGTGGGCTTGAGAAAGCTGGAAGCCAGGGGAGAAAGGGAATTCCGTCAGTTAAGGGAGCTGCAGGTGGGATACTGTTCTCTACTTACATTTTGAGACACAAAGTCTAATGGGGCCTTGTTTATGTCTAAGAAGGCTTTATATTTTTTTTGTGAGCGATCTTGTATATATATATATGCTCCATACTAATTAGACATATAATTGAAGAATTCATGATAAAAAACCAAAAGCTTTGTCATGTGCAAATTTCTGGATTCTTGATTTGTACAAAATGCAAAAATATACACTCCAACTGAGTAGCAGTTCTTCCTTTTGGAAAAGTTCAGTCCAATATTAAAACTCCAGGATAAGTGTTATCTCTGTTATAAACATTTTTTTGAACATAGGAAGAAATGCTCATGCTGAGTTTGTTTCATTCAACGCTATTCTATACCTGATTTCAACAAAGGGATTTGAGATCTGCTTTTAACTTGAAACCTTGAGGGGAGGGAATTTCAAAGCTTTGTATGTTGTTTTTCAGGCCTTTGTCATTTCTAGAAGGAGGCAAAATATGTAGCTGTATTGAGTCTGGCTGAGATGGAGTTAATTTTCCCCATAGCAGCCTTCATAGTGCTGTGCTTTGTTACTGGTAGCTAGAAGGGTGTTGATAACACACCCGTGTTTTGGCTACTGCTGAGCAGTGCTCACACAGCATCAGGGCTGTCTCTCCAACATCTCCACCCCCCCTCACCAGTAGGCTGGGGGTGGGCAAGATCTTGGGAGGGGTCACAGCCAAGACAGCTGACCCAAACTGACCAAAGGGATATTCCATACCATATGACGTCTGTTCAGCAACAAAAGCTAAGAGAAAGAAGGAGGGGGGGCATTCATTATTACATTTGTCTTCTGGAGCAACCGCTACATGTACTGATGCCCTGCTTCCTGGGAAGTGGCTGGATATTGCCTGCTGATGGGAAGCAGAGAATAACTCTTTACTTTTCCTTTGCTTCCGCGCACAGCCTTTGCTTTTGCTTTATTAAAGTGCATTTATCTTGACCCATGAGGTTTTTTTCCATCTTATATTCTCCCCGCACTCTCCTGCTGAGGAGGGGAGTGATAGAGCAGCTTGGTGGGCACCTGGTGTCCAGCCAAGGTCAACCCACCACAGCAGCACAGACAATCTCAATGTAACCAACATCTATTCTTTCTCTGGTTTATGCACAAATATAAACCACCCCTTCTCTTGGTGTATAAAGATACGTACAAAAATGCAAGTTACTGTTCTTTAGTAAGGCTGCCTTAACAAGGGATGAACATATAGGCACATACCTATGCAGCTTGACTCAAATCAACGTCTCAGCCAGATCAGAAAGTAAAGTGCTCGAGTGGCTGCTGATGCAAAGATACTTGCACAGCATGAACACTTCAGTTGATGGACATAGTTTCATTTGCTTCACTAAGATTACACCGCTTCCCACCAGTGAAGGATGGGGCTGGAAGAGCTGAGACCAGGTAGCAAAAAGCAAACGCCAGCTCCATCACACAGCCCTCCCTGCAACCCATCATTAAAATCTCTAGAGCTAAACCTCCAGTGAGGTATTGCCGGAGATGAAGGATGTGCGAGACTAAAAGTAGCATCGTTCATGCTCCTCCCCACTGCGCTTCTCTGCACAAAATACTTTTGTTGACCTGTAAAGACCTCTACGCTCTGAAGCATGAAATCCATGAACAGGTCCCTCCGACACATCACAAAACCTTTATTAGTGTTTATCAGTGACACAGATTACAGGAACCAAAGGCAATTAAATAACATTTAACTTTAAGTTGACCACAGACTCAAGAAATACAAGTCACATTTGGCAAGGCAAACTTCTCAGTACACTGGGTTGCTTAGGTTATTATTACACCGTGAAAGAGGAATTTCCCTTACAAGGTTTTACATATTCAGGATACTATTATTATTATTATTACTGTGTCTTTCAGACAGTTCCTTTGGCAAGAATTCCCATTGTTTAAGCTTTTATTATATAAAAATATAACCAATTTTCATTATGTACAAACATTACATTACACAATATACAGGTTAAAAACACTACAAAAAATGGCAGGCCATGGGTGAACCAAAGCAAAAAGAAAACCAATGGAGAAAACATGAAAAAAAATTTAAATACTGCACATTTCATAAAAATTACATTAACTACAAACAATTTATTTTTGTTTGCAAATATCAAACAGTACTGACGTGATTGGAAATCTTTCCCAACAACTTCATTTTTAAGGCACATCTTGCATATTTACATGTACAACACCGGATCTGGTCAATAACTTAAAGGCTCTCGGGAGTGACCTAGTCGTGTGCGCGCAGGGACGTGTGTACTCGGGAGGGGAGCGTGTTGGGCTACACTTTCTCAGGTGTGTCAGTCTGGGGGCCCAGGTATCTAGTTGAGGGGGCTGGATAGAGGGGCACCCCAATCTCCTGAAGGTCGGGGAGCCGTGCGGGGCGTGGTGGGGAGAGCAGCGTGATCGTCCGGTCAAAGTCCCTGTGCAGCACTTTCTCGTAGACGCTCTGAAGCCCCACTGTTTTGGGCAGCTGGGCTTGATAAAAGTTGTCCCTGCGAAGGGGATCCCTGGGCAAGGACGTGCTCTTGCAGAAGGTGGAGAGGGGTGCCGAAGGATGGGGAGAGGGGTGAGGGTTGGCCCGGCCGCAGGAGGGGCTCCAGCAGCGGTCCGAGTGGCCCAGGATCTTGCACTCGGCTGTACATGCCCACAGACCTACAGGGAGAGAGAGGAGAAACCTGTCGTTACTGCAGGAGTAAATCCACACAATTCATAATCCTCGGAGTTATCAATCATGAAATGATTCAATGCACTGACAGTGAGAGTCGGGAGGCGATGCTCTACAGCACAATGAAAGGACACGCTTGGGAAGGTTATTGTGTGTTGCTAGGGTCACTCCTCACAATCCCCACTTTAAGGGAAGCTTTTTGGGGAGGAAAAAAAACCCCAATCCTACTACTTCCAGCATCTGCTAATTTGTGCTGGGCACTCAGTACAGAGAGGAACCAGCATCTAGCAGCCTGCTGCGAAGAGACGGGCAGTTTGAGTCGCGCAGCATCAGGCTTCCCCCTCCAGCTGCCCTGCCTAATTACTATGCCCTGGGGATGGGTCCCTCCGTCCACCTCCCCGTCCCCACGCCTGTCTGTCTGGAGGGGCCAGCTGGGAGCAGGGGCTGAGCCCTTACCGTTCTGCATGTGCGTGATGAGATCTTTCTTCAGGGCATCTCCGCTGATATCCGAGTCGCTGTCGTTAAAATCGCTGTCGCCTTTGCCGCTGTCTTTGCCACTGAACTTCTCTGCCTCTCGGCCAGAGATGGTGTTGAACGAGTGCCCCTTCCAAATGGCCACGGGGGGAGCAGGCTCCTTGCTGTAGCTCGGAGCGGCAGCGAAACCCTGCTGGGGTGGCGTGGGGGGATCAAAGGAGAGGTGAGAGGGGAAGTAGTGAAGGGTAAGTCGACATCAGAACCGCACCTCTGCGATTCACATCCTCTGAGACCCGCCCCCCCCCACTTTCCGACCCCTTTCCCTGCATCAGGATCTTACCTCCCCGCTCGGTCCTCTGAGCCTCTTCTGACCCTCGTAGAGGCAAGTGCTGTCGCTGCCGCTCTCAGCGGTGGAGATCTCTTCGGCAGCTGGGGGAAGGGTCGGGGCTGGTGAAAGAGGTTTTGCTGGGAAAGGTTCGTACCTCAAACACATTCCCCCTCTGGCTGCTCTCCTCCTGCCTGCCCTTCTCCAGGTGGGAGATGTCTATCTGCTCCTTCAAGGAAGCGTTGTTTTTGATCTCGTTCCCCTTCTTGCGCCTGTTGCAGGTGGTGGCGATGGTGATTATAGCCACCAGGAGGAGGGTGCAGCTGCCCGCCAGGACAATGATCACGATCAGAGGGATGTCCCACTGCAAAGCCTTTCCTTCCCAGGAGCTGGGCTTGGCTATCTCCTGGATACTGGAAGGAGCAGTGGCGGTCACTAGGAAGTTGACTGTGGCGGTCGTGGCCAGGGGGGGTCTGCCGTTGTCTGTCACAGTGAGGATGACCTTGAACAGCTGTCCCAGCTCTTCAGAGAGGTCGCCCCTCAGCACAATGTCCCCAGTACTTGGGTTGATGGCGAAAAGGTCCTTCTGGGGCTCTTCCAGGAAGGCAAAGGTGAGCTCGGCATTGGCCCCATCATCTGCATCTCGAGCTTTGATCTGGGCCACCAGGGAGTCACGAGAGGTCTTGCTGGACACACCGATTTCCACCGTCCCATTGGTGAGCACCGGGTGGATGATGACGGGAGGGTTGTCGTTCTGGTCCACCATCCTCACTTTGACAAGGGTGCTGCTGGAGAGCTGTGGGGAGCCTCCATCAGTGGCCTGGATCCTCAGGTCCAACTGCTTGAGGATCTCATAGTTGAACGTCCTGAGGGCATAGATGGCCCCAGTGGCGGGGTCCACTGAGACGTAGGTGGAGAGGGGAGCCCCCATGACCTGTGTCTCCAGGAGACGGTAGGTGACCTTACCGTTGTGGCCAAGATCGGGGTCGCGGGCCACCACGGTCGTGATGTAGGAGCCCGGGGGGTTGTTCTCTGGCACGGCCACCTCATAGAGGGGCTTGGCGAAGAGCGGCGCATTGTCATTCTCATCGCTCACCCGCACTGTGTACTGGCGGACGGTCTTGAAGGGCGGTGAGCCCAGGTCCTCGGCCACCACGGTGAGGTTGTACTCGGGGATGCGCTCGCGGTCCAGTGCTGCTGTGGTGACGATCATGTAGCTGTCCTCGTAGGCACGCTGCAGGGCGAAGTGGTCATGTCCGCGGAGGCTGCAGCGGACCTGCCCGTTGGCGCCCGAGTCACGGTCTGAGGCACTGACGAGGGCCACGAAGCTCTCGCTGGCCGCCGCCTC